TTTTTTTTTTCCAAATGTTTGCCAGCCAATGGAGTTTCTTGACGTGGTTATTGTTGCTCCTGCTTTCGAAAACAATCGTTCGCAAGGAACAGATGTTTCAACTATATGTGAATATGATCGTGCTGCTTATACAACAAAGGAAACACAGTTTCCAGCTCCTAATGGGTTCGACTTCAGGGAGGATACTAGGCTGGATAAAAAATAAACGTATTTTTTTATAAAAAAAAAAATTTTTTTGGAGGCCCCGCTATCGGTTTTTATAAAAGCGCTGATGTCGCGTGTTGAAGACTTCCCTTGGTCAATATGTTCGATGATCTGAGCTTCAAATCGGATGCTATTGACCGCGGGTGAAACTGATTCTGTAAGGTTAAAATCACTAGGAGACCAATGTTAAATTCGATAAAGAACACGTGTTGTTCGTAATCACCGACCCCAGGAACCCCCTGGTAACGAGTTTGAACCTATGACAATGCTTAAAACGTTCAGTATCAACGTTTTAATTTTAGCAGTCTCTCTTCGAAAGCATATTTTCTGGCACTAGGCCCATTCTAACTGTCCAAGACAGGCATGTAATTAAGGGAATATACCCCAATAATACCTGAGTAAGTACATGTAAAAACAACGTTTTTAGCTGCAATATAACATATCACAAAAATAAAAAATTGAAAACATCATCGTTTTTATAAAAATCCAACTACACTCTAAAAAATTTTTGTTTAAATTTGCGCATATTAAGATAGGTAACCAGTTTCCTCTCTTAATGAATGGAAATTTAAACACTGCTTGCTTACTTTTACTTATCATATGTGTGGCGTAGAACATATTTCAATTTTGTTTTTTGAGTTTTAAACATTTATTGTTCACATTTTCACAGTTTACACATAAAATGTTTAAAATTTCCTCTAGCAAATTTTCGTTTAAATTTACGCATATAAATAGAGGTAACCAGTTTCCTCTCCTAGTGTGTGCAAAATTAAACAATGTTTGTTTACTTTTACATATCAAATTTGTCACATAGCGCACACAAGGGGTGGGTTTTGGGGCTAAATTTATTATGATATAAGAAATTTTGAAAGAAAAAATTTTCTTTTCCATTTCTTGTGCGTCATTTTGTGAGAATTTTTCTTTTTTTCTTGAGAGCTCTTTAAAGTTTAACTGCGAATGAAAACATTGTCCTAAAAATATGCAATGCATACTCACTTACTGTTGCTTCTTACACTTTACAGCCTAAAAAAGTTTACAGCCGCATCAACATCCCCGCCTCCGTGAATCTAGCTAGATTCACCAACTTCGAGTTTTGCTAACATACAGGCTGGTCGCTTAAAGATGCCCACCTGAGTCTGGACCCGTGCAGCTCTGACTTGTTCATCTTTGCCCGGAAATACTTCCATTATTCGCCCCATAAGCCACTTCGTTCGATGAACACCGCTATCGCATATGAGGACTACGTCGCCTACGGCCAAAGGCTTCACTGGCTGGTACCATTTCGTCCTCCTGGTCAGGTCAGGAAGGTATTCATCTACCCATCTCTTCCAGAATCGGTATTGCATCTGTTGGGCCTTACGCCATTGTTTGCGAGTGGCTTGGAACTGCTCTTCATTCGGATGTGGCGTTTTGCTCAGCGTTTGGGGTACCTAAAAGAAAATGATTGGGAGTTAGCGGTTCATCAGTGGGTGCGTCTAGTGGGATGTGTGTCAACGGTCGGGAATTAACGATGTTCTCCGCCTCACACATGAGACTGTATAGGACGTGTTCTTGAATACTTTCATTATGTACTGCATGACCCATAGCTCTTTTGACGCAGCGTACTAAACGTTCCCAGCATCCTCCAGCGTGCGGGTTCAACGGGCAATTGAAAACCCAGTCAATGTTTTTATTCGCAAGCGCATTTGCTATTTTGCCATTATTAAACTCCATAAGCTGTCGTTTAAGCTCCCTGTCAGCACCAACGAGGTTCGTACCGTTGTCCGAACGGATACGCACAGGAGTTCCACGCCTACACATGAAGTTCCTGATACATAACAGGCAGGTGTCGGTGGAGAGGTCCTTCGCCATTTCCAAATGTATCGCTCTCGTTGTTAGGCAAGTAAAGAGGGCGATCCAGCGCTTCTCGTTTCGCCTACCGATGACAACGTTGAACGGTCCCATGTAGTCTAAGCCGGTGTATGTGAAAGGCCTAACGAATGGTGTCAGCCGGTCTACTGGCAATTGGCCCATTTCTGGTTGATCTGGAACGCCTCTTGCATTGACGCAAAACTGGCATCTTTTAGTGGCGCGACGCACTTCGACCCTTATATTAGGGATCCAGTACTTGCGTCGTATTTCGGCAATTATTGTGGATTCGTTTTGGTGTTTCCAGGAGCGATGGTAATGATCTATCAGCAACTCCGTTACGTAGCATCGCTTAGCTAGGATTATCGGGCGTCTCGTACATGATGAAATCGCGGTGGCCGCGTCTATTCGACCACCCAGTCTTATGACGCCCTCCGCATCCATAACGGGACTGAGCTTCCACAACGCGCTACCCTTCTCTATCCGCTTGCCCATGCGCAGGGCATGGTATTCATCCGCAAACTCTTCCATCTGCGTTGATCGTAAGACTACTGTTTCGGCTTTTTGCAACTCGAACATCTTCAAGTCGTCATAAACGCGTGTCGCTTTTGTCTTGAGACAGTTTTCCCGAAATCGCAACATCCAGCTAACTACTCTTCTCAGTCGGTTGAAGGACGAAAATCTCTTAAAAAATGAAGTATTAGTATTAATTATTAATATCGTGAATTTGTTGCGCAGCTCAACGTCTGTAGGTTCACAAGATGCATTTGGCGGCCAGTTGTTCTC